CATCGCTACTAGGAGCAAGGACGCTACTAGGGGCTCCTGGCCTTACTGCTAGGAGCAAGACGCTACTAGGGGCTCCTGGCGTCGCTACTAGTCTTCAACCGGGAAGCATCTTTGAAGTTGGCATTCTTGAACTCCACACGATCCTGCGACTCTGACATCATGGGCTTCTGGCTAAGCGGCAACGCAACGACTCTTTTCTATGTTCAAAAGAAGCATGGCTTTGTTACTAGCAGCTTCTTGTTAGTAGTAGCATGGAGCCCTTCCGCTTGACGAAACGTCTGCAGTCCGCAACAACATTCGTGAAGTCTGCGCCCTCAAAGTTACTTTCTTCGGCAACCGCCTGTGCTCCGGAGAGTGACTTCAGCTCGAATGACAACTGGTTGAGAGCAGTGATTTCTGGAATGCCAAGCCCAAAAAATCATCGTTTATATCTTATGACGCTTGCTTTGAACCGAAAGGAGAATGTTCAAAAATGATCAAAGTACAGTAGGTCTATATATAGGTGTTCTTCTCTCTCTCTCTGACAGATTCCCTAACCCTGTGACCTTGGTCATGATGCCGTTCTTGAAGCTCACCTTCGTGAAGTCGCCTTTGTTCAACAAGGCTCCTGGCAACCAGATCTGAGCTACCTGAACTGCCAAATGTACTTGACAGGATTCTTCTGCTTCGAGGGCCCTTTCAATCAAAGCATGATGGCATGCAGTCCGACAAACAATTCCTGCAAATTCTCCTGCAATATCCTTGTCGTCCGCATTCGTGCCTGCATGTAAAGTCTGTACAGTATCTGTTCCAAATATAACCAATAACTATCAAACTCTGAACAACAGTTCCATTGGAATAATACACTGGAGGCCATTCCCATTAGGTTGGAGGCCATCGCTAGTAGGTTGGAGGCCATTCCTACATTGGCTGGTCAGCCTGCCATCTTGCATTCTCGCAAGTCTTGGAGCTTTTCTCGCTGTGCATTTGCCTGTGCTGAAAGAGTCAGCATAATCCCGAAGCAAACAATTCTTTTGAAAATGATTGTGGTGCTGTCAAAAATCTAAATTTCCTGATGTTACAAACACTTGTTGGTTAAAAAGTATCTGCTGACATACTCCGCATACAATATTGTCTTGCATGAATAAGGAAGAATGAGGGGACCAATACGCGCTGCGCTCTCTCTCTCTCTCTCTCTGTGACAGCATAGTCTGCAGTTCAACCGCATAGTCTGCAACAGCATAACCTCGCTAGAGCAAACATTGCGGTGCCGTATTGACACCTGTGCAATGTTCGACGATCTCCACTGGCATCTGTTGGGGTCCTCCTTGTTGATTGGAGGATACCTGCTTCAAGACAGTGTACCAGGTCACAATGAAATTGGTAGGCCTGCTTGTATTTTGACTTAAATCCTCGTGCATGATGCATGAATCTCTTTGATTTCAGGGATGATAACGTCACAGAAATGCAGGACCAGTCTGAGTGTGATTTCAAAAGGCGACATGTACAAATGTCACTGGCTCACGCCACTTTCCTCTGCATGTAGGCATTGGATTCCGGAGTGAAGGCCTATCGGACACTTTGCGGCTTTCGATCAGACAAGGCACAGCGTCCTTGTTCCTAGTAGTAAGGCCAGGAGCCCCGAGTAGCGTCCTTGCTCTTAGTAGCGATGCCAGGAGCTAGTAGCGTCCTTGTTCCTAGTAGTAAGGCCAGGAGCACAGACGACAGGTTGGAGGCCATTGCTTTCGTACATTTAGTGGTCTCTCCTCCAGGGACAACGCACCCACAATCCCAGTGAGCAAGTTGCGGCCTTAACTGTTCAATGGCAAATTAGACTGGTCAGCATGTTTGACATGGGAGAGTTGATGTCATATTCGGTGGTTCGTACACTTGCTCAACACCTAAACTCATGAGATTTCACAAGCAAGCAAAAATGGCGTGAATGAAGTGCCATCAAAGCTGGAACATGAACAAATGGCACAAGTTGCGACATGAAAAAAATGAAATGAGTGTATTCGTTTCGCCTTGCAATTTTGTCCTTATTGTTTCCTTTTATGTTTGTTTACACCTGGAGATGGGGTATGCCGTAAAAGTAGCTGCTTGCAAAGTTACTAGCAGCACGGAAGCTACTACTGTACTACCGGACGCAGGATCAGGCTTCTTCAAGGATGCTGCCCCAGCCCCAAAGGCAGCGGGGGGGAGCTGCCTTGAAGAAGCCCTCGCACTATTCATGTGGTTCCTAGATTTCTTGGAAACTAGCGATGGCCTCCAACCTAGAAGCCATGGCTCCACCCTAAGAGCAATGGCCACCTAATGGCAAACTTAAGAAGCCGTTCTGTTCAACTTATGTTGAATGACAAGTGAACGGCTTCAATCCACTTCTTGGAGACCAGAGACGCTGGACAAGCCGCGCAGACTGGTCTGAGCTGCCAAAGACCTGTGAACTTGACATGCACGACAAACTCTGTGAAGCTGTAGCAGCAAGTGGCTGCACTGCTCTTCAGAAGTTGTTTCTCTTCAACGAACATCTGCTGTACTTTAGGAGCTGGTTTATCTGGCTCAATCTGATGCCAAATATTGAGAGTAAACAGCTGGAGAAGGAACAAGCACCAAAGTTAGGAGGTAAGGCTGTGTGGTGGTGTTGGCTTCTAAACACACGGTCTCTCCATACAGTTTCATGCTGCTCGCATTCAAAATTGGTTAATATACGTTTTGAGGCTTGGAGTTTGCTTGTGCCTGAGTGGAGACATTCTCAAATCTAAGCCACAGACTTGTAGGAATGCAAAACTTCTGAAGGCCAAAGCGGCTAGCGCTGCCGGAATCAACCTGAAATCACAAGCTGGCTGAGGTGGTTTGCATCAGAAGCGACCAAGGGCACGAGAGCTATATGAGTCACTTATGATCCTGCACTGCTTTCGTTTTCCCTGCTTTTCCAAGTGAAACACAAAGAAAGTGGTAGGCTGAGATCTCTCGCTGTAGCTACTTGCTCCGTTCGTAGTACGGCGTCCGATCGCCCCGTTCGTAGCGACGAAACACATGTGGACGCGCCTCAGATGACGCCGCATCGACCTTGTGGGCCGATCGAGCGACTTGCTTGGCCACAAGCGTAGATGGTTTTCCCACAAGGAGCAACACAGCGCTATTAGGTTGGAGGCCATGCCTACTAGGTTGGAGCAACACAGCCTTTGACCATGTGCAACTGAACCCCAAACCACCTGCCACCAGCTGCCATCAAAGCAACGACTGGCCTTAGCAAATTGGCTCTATGGATCCATCGATTTTGAGACAAGAGATGGTTCAAGATATCCTCTCGTCCACTGGTAGAAACCTTTGGACGGAAGGGTTTTTCCAACCCATTTCTTTGGGCTGAGCAAAATGCTGTAGGCAGGTTCACCTACCAGCGCTGGACAGTGGAGTGTCAACTGCTGGAGCCCAAATTTGACCGCCCGCGCGTGAGGTCAAGCATTTTGCATGTCCTTGTCAGTCCTTGTGCTTTTGTCCTTTTCTCTCAATGTCTCATCTTAGGCAGCCAAGCTTCATCAAGCTCCGGGGCAGTGGCAACGTGAATAGCTGTGAAGGCATGACACTCATTTTAAGCTCTAGTTACAGGCATGTCATGGCATGTCAAACGATCCGAAGAGATGCTGTGAAAATACCAAACAAGCAAAGCCGTCTGCGAATAGTTGCTTTGCCTGCACTTTTGCATGATAGATTTGCGTGCTCAATCTTAATCAAAGGAAGAAGAGAAACTCGATGGACAATGATTTCAAGCGCTGTGTATGGGATTGTAAGGGATGTGCATAGATACTGTGAGACAGTTTGTGCAGCTTGGAGAGATTGCTCCAGTTGACAGGTAAAGAACGGTGCCGAATGCGTTGACAGAATGTGTCCTGCTGGATGCGAGTCCCTTCAGGGAATGGACAGTTGTACAACGCATAGAAAAGCATTCGCATAATAAAGATTTCAAGAGCAGAGTGGTCAAGAAAAGTAGAAAAAGTATAAAAAAGTAAAGAAAGGTAGAGATGAGAGGTCAAGTAAACGACTATAGATTTCAGGCGAGGAGCAAAGAAAGGACAGGTGTTTAGACACCTCACCATCACAAACCACAACGTGGCACTCACATGGGTGTTGATCAACATAAAAAATATCTGAGGCAGCTACAATCGCCGATCAACCGCGAATCAATCGCGATCCCAACGGTGTCAATCGCGGGAGAGTGCTCTCGTATGCGACACTATTTTGCGCAGAGAATCGACGAAACATAGCTACATATCACAGAATTTAGAGATATGGCAGGGCCTACTCAGGCGGGTTTAACAATCGTGGCACAATCGCGGATCAATCGCGAACCAATCGCGGATTTCGTCGACATATTTTTGAGAATTGAATTGATCTGGGCTGGTAAACTTTAAACTTTCTGTTCTGATTCTTCTTTGCTACTGGCTATCACTATTGAACACAGTGTCTAGGCAGACCCGAATACAGTGTAAGGCTGAACTGTAACATGATTATCATGCAATATAATATTGATTTCTCCTCTTACAATGGTCGATTCTGATACAACAAATGTTTCTCAATCGCGAACCAATCGCCGATCAACTGCGATGCAGGGTTTTACAATCGCAAATGCTGAGATACACATGCCCTTTCATAATTCTTAGATTTGCATTTACGATCGGCTCCCACATGATCTTCAACCACATCACAAATCAGCACTTCACAGATGGCATCTCAAAGGCCAAATCGCTCGCAAGCTCACCACCTTGCTAAACGACCCATGTCCTAGCGTCAGTCAACGAAAGATCTGCCAGCTGACCTTATTCAGTATTTTGCCCTGTTATTGGAGGAACAAACGTGTGTCAGCAAGAAAAGGGTCACCCCATCAAGTCTCAGAAAGCCATCGAACCATGTTTTTAGCGCCTGATCTCAATCGCTGCGTCTTGTTTTGAGGAAAAACGATCTGGGCAAGTTAGAGAAACAAGTGAACACTGGATTCGGATCAATTCCTGTGGTGTGCTTCTTGATTCAGAAACAAATGATGCAGTTACCCATGTCAATCAACAAGAAATCAAACAACCAAACAAATACTCTCACAAAGGTTGGTCGTTGGTCCAAATCCAATGACACGAGTCAGGCACATTGTCACATGCGGCATCAAAGCTGCCAACATGTAGCCGGATTAAATGAACTTCCACACGTGGTGCACGCGTGAACAAGCAATTCAGAAAGTATCTGCTTGGCAACACAATTACACAGCTTTGCAGGAATTGGAGTCTCGTCTTAGTCAACCTGCCTTGAAAGTGGCAACAGTTCGACGTTAAGTTCTGCTCCCTTCATTATTGTCCTGACTGTGCATTCTTCATTTCTCCTGCGGGACGACAAGCCGGAATGCTCAATGCTACATTGCTCTAATTCATACATACACCTCACAATGCAGTTGCATAGTCAAGTGGCTGGTGGCAAGCTAACACTGTAGGTAGCTTGTCGCAGCAAAAAAGCTACTAGTAGCAAGTGCCTCGCTACTAGTAACAAGTGCCTTACTAGTAGTAACAAGAAGCCATTAGAAACATTTCAACGACGCATCCTTGGAGGTTTCAAGTGCGAAGCAGCGGCTGGCATGGTCGAAATGCTTCCGATCTCAGGAACTAAAGGTTGGAGGTCTCCTCTAGGACGCTACGTTCGGGGCTCCTGGCCTTACTAGGAGCAAGGACGCTACTAGTAACAAGAAGCTAGACGCATTGATTTCTTCCTTGGTCTTTTACTACTTTATTCTTACTGTATCTCGTTGCTGCATAGGGGACAAAAAAAGTTGTGCCCCAGCGTCAGATCCTTGCAAGGAGAAAAAACACCTGTGCTTTTTTTAGTTCTCCTGTAGCTCCACCATCAGGTCACCTGGCGCCAGGATGTCGCCTTGCTTCTCTTTGGTGCGCCCTTTGCATGGCAGATCCTGACCACAGCCAACCCTCTGCCAAGGCTCAAAATGACTGCCTCTATTCTTTGTTGCGTTGATACATTGGAAGATCTCCAAGCGTAGAATTTGTCTGACTCACTTAGAACCTAAGAGCGATGGCCTCCAACCTAATAGGGATGGCCTTCAACCTAATAGCAATCAATGGCAACAAAATAGCGATGGCCTCCAACCCAATAGGAATGGCCTCCAACCTAATGGCAAGCTCCAACCTAATAAAGTAGGAATAGCCTCCAACCTAACAGGAATGGCCTCCAACCTAAGAGCGATGGCCTCCAACCTAATAAGACTTGGTTTGACAAAATGAAGAACATCGAGGAACTTGACAGAATCTTTCACCCCACATCCCTTGCTCCTTGACGACCAATCCATCTAGTTCATCAGGCACTGGGATTTTCATTTCCTCAGGCGCTATTTTTATGGACTTGGACCGGCTTGGACCACTGTCATACCAGCCCGAGCAAGCTGGGGCAACCACCATCTTCATTGACTCGAGGACGCACAAGATCTGGCCCTTCTTCAATGTGTCACCCACCTTCAGAACTGAAACTGAAGCTGAAACAGAATTCCATGATCAGTTTCCAACAAGGTTCCGTGAGACGTTTGCGGCAGCAATCCCACCTTGACAGCATAGGAAAGCACCTCTCCAGGGACAACGGTGGGGACCTGAACGACGCGGCTGAACAGATGGGCTGAACAGCAGCTGTGTGTTGGCAGCTCCGGGGCCAAAGGAAAACTTACTCAGCCGTTCATTTGAGCGAATGCACTTGAATAAGAACGCTACTAGGGGCTCCTGGCATCGCTACTAGGAGCAAGGACGCTACTAGTAACAAGAACACTTCTGACTTAGTCGCCTCCAGCTTGTTGCCTGGTGTTGCCTTTCGGTTTCCTCCGGCAGTTGCAGCCGCACTGGCTGCTGCATCGGGATCTGGCAATTGGACCTGCACAAGAGATCAGACTGGTCTATGGCTATTGTGGCTATGGTTTCGAGAACGAAACTTGTAATCTAGAGTGCAAAGTCCGGTCACCACCGAACACCGACGACAGCAACAGCAGGCGTTGTGTCCCACAGCTGGAATAGCTTGCCTGCACGGTCTGACCTTCATGCAAAAAGCCTCAAGTAAGCGGAGGTGCAGGCATCAAGAATTGTCACAAGCATTACACTAAACACATTTGAGGGACTGCGAAAACCGCTGGGTAGCGAAGAGGACATGATCAAGAAAGCAAATGTCTGAGGCTAGGGTGGTCATTGCCAGTTTTTGGTGGTCGCTCATTGTTGTATAGTTATATAATATATATAATTAATGTATGCATCCTGTCGTGGGACAGGGTAGAAAAACCAAAAACCAAGCCTCAAAGACTCAAAGAATCAATTTCGGGGCATAGAAAACATGAACTAACATGCCTTCCTCCATGGTTGGAGGCCATCGCTATTGGGTTGGAGGCAGGCCATCAGTTCCTCAAAAAAGACTATTGGAGCCAAGAGACTCAAGACCAAATCTCTACCGAGGCTTTCAGGTCCAGAGGCCACTCCAGGTGCGAGGCCGAAGCCGACAAATTTGATCTCTTCCTGCACCAAACTCAAAAAGAAAGACGGGTTAAGTTTTAAAGAAAAAAAGAGAGAAAGGCAAAGAAAGGAAAGTATTGGTAAACCGACCGGGGTCCAAGCCAGGAGGTCAAGCCTTAAACAAAGCCTAAGGAGAGTAACAAAGACACAAACCTCTACCAAAGCTTGAGGGTTTCAAGGCCTTCTAAGACCTGCTAAAGCGAATGAACTGGAACTTGCCCTTGTTATGTTCACACGTTTTCTATCATCAACAGCCTGTTTCCTTGCAAGCATTGAAGAGAAAGAACTTCGTTGGTTTCCGTTGAAAGTCCGGCCTTCTTGGGCAACTTGCCATCCAGCTTGTCCATGAGCACCTGGAACTTGGTGCCAGCTCGAAGGGACTTCGGAGCACTGTGCAAGACTTCCGGGGCCAGGAGCAAAGGTGTCAAGTCCGTGCCCTTGGCCTCACAGGAGGTTTTCTATTTCTATTTGGAGGGGGGTAGGAGGTAGAGAGGTAGCTAGTAGCTAAGTAGCTAGTAGCTTAAGTAGATACTACCTTGGACGCAGGATAGCTCTAATGATTTGGTTCCTAGATCTTTGGGAAACTTAAGGTTCAAAACACTCCAGGAGGTACTAGTGGCACAAACCTTCGCAACTGGATCTTTGACAAGTGCCGCTACCTGCATTAAAGCATTTGAGGAACACTCTAGGACTCTCGAATCCTTCCAAATGGGCCACAGGGAAAACATTTGAATGCAATAAAAACATCTATATATATATATACTGATATACTTCACTCTCAGTGCTGTTAGCAACTTCTGGCCACAATCATTTGTGCGTTTTCCTCTTTGCTTTGACCAATCTTCCGAAGAACATCTCTGAAGACAAATCTCCGCAAGTATGAGCGAATGCACTTGAACTCGCCTGCCTGTGCTTTGGTAAACTCCAAGCCCTTCTGCTGGAATCCCAAAGCTGTGTGACGCTGGGCCGCAGTAAGGTCAGAGGGAAGATCTGCAGGTCCAATGAGCTTGGATTTCTGACCAAGAGCGGCTTCCAATTCCTGGCGCGAGCGTGTGATTGTTGTTGTAGTGTCGCACTCCAAGGGAACAAACAGCGGATTGGTCTAAATCCGTCAAGAATGAAAAACAAAAAAGAACAAGTCCAACAAAAAGTCTTCCTGAAAGTTATTGAACACATTTGATGTGGCACTATGGCAACATGAATTGAATCACTCCACATGTCCGAGGCCTCAGGCATATTCTTCAAGAGCTGGTCCACTTCCGGAGTCTTTTCTGTCAAGGTCTCCCAGCGCTTCAAACCAACGAGGACATCTCCTCCGACTTTCAGCTTGCCGCCGCCATTGACCCACTTCCGCACCTTAAATTTATTGGCGTCCTTGTCACTCTCAACTCGATTCCGGCGCCAGTCTAGGGGGAGTTCGATTCAGGTGTCCAAGATATATGTTTTCTCGACACCTGATTTATGTTCAACTTGAGTTCCAGCATTCCAACCACTATGACACAAAGGAGCCGAGTCGGCCGTCTTGGGTTCGATTCCTGGCTCGATCATGAGTGCCTTAGTCAGGTGAAGGTCCGCAAAGTGGAACACACTAATCGAATGTCTCTGGTCTCTACGCAATTTGGGCAACGCATTGAACCATGAGACGTGGCATTCAAAAAAACAAAGCGGCTTAAGACTTCACAAGACTTCCATCTTGAAGCCATGCAACAATGCCCAGTCGCAGCTTGTACTCGGAGAATGGCGTCACTGCCCTCTCAAGGGGGAAGACTTCACTGGCAATCTCCTCGGGGCATGGTGGAGATCAAACCTCTTCACAGAGAAAGGTAAATGTCCTTGGCATCATTGATCTTCCGCACATCCAAGGAGTACTCCTTGGCGATGCGGATGTCGGAGCCTGAAGATCAAATCAGATATACAAACATCTCCAACCTACTAGCGATGGCCTCAAACATTTGATAGCCATGTCTCACCAATGTCTCACAATGCTACCGCTACCTGCTTTGATAGCTACCTGCCTTCAGTGCCACCTGCCCAATCAGAGTCCCAAGGGGTCATTTGCGACGTGCCTCAGGCTGCTTGCATCGTTGCAGCGACCAATTCTCAAGGCAAACTCGTCTAGTCCAGGTCAAGCCAAGCGTCGGCTATCAAATCGGCAGATCAGATTCCTTGGGAATTGTCCACGCTGACACCCGCAAAAAATGCAATTGATTGAAATTGGCATCGTGGAAAACCCAAGATGAAAACTATGCTGCTTGCAACAAAACTTCACAATCCTTCATAATGGGTAGAACCCTCCTGAACCAATGGCCAAAACAACAGGATGCTTACTGGTGCTTGGGTTCTCAATCATCTGCTGGTTGTGGTTGTACTCTGCCAAGGCTGCCTTTTGCGCGGCATCCAAATTCAAGCTGGCAAGAAGCACCTTGACAACTTGACACCCACAAGAATAACGACATTTAGTAATATGTGTCGAGTCATGCTGCTTTCCAGATTCAGCAGACAACAGAAAAACAAATCCGACAAAGCACATTGAATCCATCCTCATGAAAAAACGACCCAGGCGCTGTGTTGTCATTGTGAGTACCGTTCTTACGTGGTGCGCCGTCAATCACCAAGGTGCTGAAATTGGCCTCGACAAAATTGTTACTAATAGCTTCTTGTTCCTAGTAGCGATGCACTTGTTACTACTAGAGATGCACTTGTTACTAATAGCTTCGGATGGACGCATCAAAAATCTTTGAAGACAGGAACATGACTCACAAATGTAACGTGGTGTCTGTTCGCAGCAACCTCCTGACCCTTGGTCAACTGTGGGACCGGGTTCAAAATGATTCAAGTCACCCCGCCTTCAAACAAAAAAGAAGTACTGTTACTGTGTTCTCTATTGACTTTGTAATTGAACAGCCTGTTCACTTCCAAGAAAAGCAGCATGGTTTACGTAGGCTGTCCTAAATGTTACCAACCTGAAGATCCTGAAGAACAACATAGAAAAGAAGATACAAAACTTCAAAACATCACACAAGCAAAACAAATTTGTCCTTCTTAATGGACTTGATCTAGGTCTAAGGCTTAAGGGCTTTGGACCGTGTTCTTGCTGTGTAGCAAGGGGCAGTTAACACACCTCCTGAACAACAACATGAAAGTTGATTATGTATGGGCTGTATGAGATTTATATGAGATACTAAGTGCACACAGCGAGTCGTCTTTGCCTGTTGGGCTTTGCGGAAGAGCTCAGCTCCTGTGTGGCCAGCCATACCGTTGAAGTCCTAGCATAGAATCCAGCAACGTGAAAAGGTCCCTTGAAACATCATCCAACTTTGAGCCGTCAAAGCAAAAACGAGCTCAGCTAGGTAGCAAGAGGTCAGTGCGGTAGCAACGTTTCAGCGAAGGTCAAGGGCTTTTGGGCCAACACGTTGTCTCCCCTTTCCGTGGCATTCTTGTTAGTGGATTTGTCTTTCCTGTCTTGTCTAACCAATGAACATTGCTTGATACCATTTCAATCATTCTCTTCATGCTGAGCATAAAGTCAAGACTTCATCATTCAAAGCAGTTTATTGACCATGTTTGAGTGCATTGGCAATGCATTGGATGGCTTCATTGACGTTTGTTTAAAGATCACAATATTGATATTGGCCAAGTGACATGGTTGTGGATGTAAACGATGGGAGCAGGAAGGCCTTTCTCCTTAAAGACCTTGATGATGGTGTCCACGTGAGCCCACACAGCATCAGCTGTCCAGTCCAATCCCTGCAATATGGCCACCATATCAGGTCCCCACATGTCTCCACACACACACAGACACGGTGTCGAACAGAACAAACGACGGAAGAAACTGTACGTACGCAACATTATGCAACGCAAAAGAGCACAACCATGAGCAAACCTACATACAAGCCAAGCCGTGAATGCCTGGCCAGGATTCTTGATTCGGAGTTGCTGCAGTGTCAGCCCCTTCTTGGCAAAGAGGTCGATTTGGCGCTCAGTCCACTTCTTCAAAGCCTCCCAACAATAGCTGTTAGGATGCTTTAAGCGCAACAATGGTGCTCTGTTCCTTAAACATCTTCTGCTTATGATGTTCTTTGAGTGTCCGGCTGTGCACTCGGCGTTTATTGTGAGGCGACTTGAATAAATATCAAGAAATATCCACTTTGTAAACTGTCACAGAATGTTACGGTTTGGGTGCGTAAAATTATGTAAAATGAGGAGCTGCATGGCAGGTGCAGGGGATTGTGCACGTTGTGCTTTAAAGTGACGATTTCGGGGCAAAGGCAGCACTCTTGAGACCTTGATGATCAGTGGATAGCTCCGACTCAGGAAATCCTACAGCTTTACTTCGAACAAACTGCAGCTGATCTCACTCTCAACGATCAATTCTTGGAACTCCCGGAGTACCCTCCTTGCCACCATCCCTGTGTTCTATCTTGCAACCTGCTGGACACCAGGACTTTCATTGCTTTGTCTATTTAAGCTCTAGCTGTTCGGGGTCCCTCAACTATGTTCGGCTGCAAGGATAGACATTCAATTATTTGGTGCTCCCCGGAGTCAAGTACCTTTTCAACTCTTCCCGGAACACGCCAGGTACGCCCAGCTTACCAACATGCTCGCCCTGGTATCAGAAGAGAAGACCCTGCCTCGATCGGGAACTTTGGAGAGAAGACCCAGTTTGGCATGGGCCTTCAGCAGGTCATAGCACAGACCGCAAAAGAAACAATAAGCTACTAGGAACAAGTGCATCGCTTCTAGTAACAAGTGCCTTACTAGTAGTAACAAAAAGCTATTAGAAACAATAAGCACCGACCGTAACTCTATGAGACTCCGTCCGGTCTCTCTCGAGGCCGGTGCAAGCACTTTGCATCCAGCAACTCCAAGGTTGTTTCATCCTGCACAAAGCCAAACCTCCACCTAATAGTGTCCTTGTTACTAGTAGCTTCTTGCTAACAGCAAACCTGACGATGTGGATAACAATGCAACTCTGAAGCAAGTCCCAACAATCCAGCAAAACAAAACACATTTGGTGCACTGCTTGCCTGAGGGCAGTAGCCAGTCTTGGCATCAAAGAAATTTCCAGCGTGGAAATTGTACGGGTGCCAAGGAACCCAGCCTTTCAAAAAAACGCTACTAGGAACAAGTGCATCGCTTCTAGTAACAAGTGCCTTGCTAGTAGTAACAAGAAGCAAGAAAATCATCTCCAGCCTCTCACCCCTCTACTCTCACCCCTCTACTCAAGATTAATAGTCGCCTTAAGGTCTCAAGTCGCAACCTTTCACAGCATGTATCAATTGGAGTAGACAAAGCCGCATTGGAGTCACAAAGTTTTTTAATTGTCAGAAACGAATTGATATTGATTCTTCTACATCCCCGTCTAGTAGCTTCCTGTCGCATGCTAAACTAGCTACTTGAACTGCTTAATTAAGCTACTTTACGGCTTTACGGCCTCTCAATAAACACAAGTAAAAAAAGACCATTTGAAAGACACAAAGAATTTGAAAAGGCTCGAAAAGGAATTCCGAGAAATCCTGGGGCTCCTGGCTGGTGGGTTTTGCGCCTCGGTAGTGCTGTCCCACAATCTCGGCAGTCGCCTCAAAGAGTGGTCGTCCTCAGTGCACCAAATGAAACATCGAAGAATACGTTGAACAGAATAAGCAAAAGAAACACATGGCCTCCAACCTACTAGCGATCAACCTAATAGCAATGGACTCCAACCTACTAGCGATGACCTCCAACCTAATTAATAGTGATGGCCTCCATCCAAGAGTAAGCAAAAGAAACACATCATGTAACACATGTCATGTCGGACGGCAAAATTGCTTCCTCGAAGAAACCTTTGATGAACTTGTCTTGGTTTGGAAAATCCAAAAGGTTCAATCAAATCATCTTCCTTTTGGATGATAGAAAATCCTTAATCTTCCTTCGGATGATGCTGACAACTTCACCTTCTTAGAATCCACCTTCCTCTCAAAGACGTGCTTTGAAGAACTTTCAGAATGAGCGAGCATCGAATCTCAGGAGACAGTTCAGCAAGACCGTTCACGTACTGCGATCGCTGCAAAGAATGGGCTGGCATGTTGTAGGGCAAACCTCAGATTGGAATATGCAGCTTCTCAGTCCGAGACCTTTTGAGTTGTAGCTGTGCATCGCCACATCTTCTAAGGCATCTTCCAATTCGCAAGATGGTGGCAGGATCAAAGCCACGAATCAGTCCTGTCTGTGGTGGGTGACCAAGAAGGAGGATGAAACAAAAAGGAACGTCGCTCAGGTTCCCTTTGCCTGCTTGGTACTGCGCTCCACCTGTCTCATAGCCGACCTCAGGCGTATCCATATAGGCTATATAGGTCAAAAGGGTGAATCAAGTGACGTCACTTTCAAATATACCAGTTGAAAAAGAATCTGCAGTGAGATCGCTGGTTCTGTGCCCCAGATCACTGCACCCTTAGCTGCGCCCAACAACAAATGGTTCTGGCGAGTAGCGCAACCAGCTTTTTGCGCCCAAAATTCAGCATTGATGCGGGAGATGTTCGAAACCTCGGCTGACGTCTTGTTTGAGCACAACGTGATAATACCGTCCTTCATAGGCAGTGAAATACAACTTGCGGGTGGATTGGAAGTGAATTGTCTGCTTTCAACGAAAGAGCAAACAGGAAAGCTTATCTACTGCCAGCGACGAAAACTGCACCTTTTTATTGTTGGTTTCCTTTTGCAGGAACTCTCGTCTTTGCAGTGATCGTTCAGCTCGTTTCAAGATAATTGAAGTGGAGCTACATGTAAAACAAATCCTTTGTTTTTTTGGTCTGTTCTCTTTGTCCTTTCTCTTGGACCTTCTCACCTTCCTTTGTTTGTCTGTTTTCTTCCGTGTTCTTTTCAACAAATCTTTCAAGCAGAGTAGAACTACAAGTCATGATGCTGCATTGCATGTCTCCAAGCAGCGGCAGCACTCTCCGAGTCGTTGCCCTGCTGACAGGTGTCACGTGGAGCCACAGTCACCCAGCCACCACCCTGACAGCGAATCAACTTGAAGCCACTATGAACGGTGTTCTTTCTCACAAAAAGTAACTATATGTGTAGCTAACCAAGACACTTTTATGATACCTTTTTCATTTTACCTTGAGGTTTTCCAGGTTCCCACATTTGCGGCAACGTAGATGCTCTGCTTCAAACCATATGCAACATCAAGTCTGACAGGCTGCTAAGACAGAGGACAATGCGCCCTTGACCAGCCTGCTTGTCAAGCTGTGCCTTCAGATCGTCGATATACTGCTCGTAGGTTGCCTGCAGTAGCGTGAAGGAACTCGACTGACGAGTGAAAGTTGAGTAGCTGCAGCACCATCACTTCTACATGTGTTCTATTCTCTTCCGGGGGTCAAAGTTGTTCAAATGTTTTCACATTGTGAGTGTCGTCTTTTCAGATTCTTCCGAAGCATGATGCTTTCTTGTTTTTGTACTGTAATTGAAAAGAACCCCGATTCTTCGCATCTTAGTTCACAATCCTTGAATGTGTGTGTCCAATGTCTGATGCCTCTCCACGGGCAAAGGCTGTGAAGGTTGTGGCGTCAGGCGCAGACCTTAACAAGCGGGGAAGCCCGTGGAATTCGGCCTTCTTCCAATGATTAGCTTGAAGCAACCACCCTACTAGTGATGGCCTCCAACCTAATAGCCATGGCCTCCAACTAATGACACATTCTTCCAATAATAGCTTGAAGCAATACTAGTAGTAAGAATGCTCCTAGTAGCGATGCCAGGAGCCCCTAGTAGCGTCCTTGCTCCTAGTAGCGATGCCAGGAGCCCCTAGTAGCCTCCTTGCTCCTAGTAGCGATGCCAGGAGCCCCTAGTAGCGTCCTTGCTCCTAGTAGCGATGCCAGGAGCCCCTAGTAGCGTCCTTGCTCCTAGTAGTAAGGCCAGGAGCCCCTAGTAGCGAACATTGTTACTACCAAGGAACGAGTTTTGCGCGTACCCATGTCTTCACGGACAAAGTTTCGCGTTTTTGCTGCAGCACAAAATGCCGCCGACTGCCGCGCAAGCGCCGGGAACGCAGGCGTTGACTACAAAAGCGCAGACCCTTTTTGTTGTCATGAAGCTGCTTCGGCAAGTGGTCTATCATATGTGTTCTTGTGGTCTTAGCTCTTTCGTGAACTGCATCACCCCCCGTCCCACCATTCAGAGCCCGAAGCACCTTCCCCGAAGCAATATCGTGCTGTTGGCAATCACAACATACGTCACCACCAGGCATGATGCAGGACTATCTATGCGATGAAGTGCACAAAAACGCGCTAAAAGCTCACGGTCGCTAACGCCACTCACCTCTCAATTCTTGTTTTGTCTGTTATATTTAATTAGCCCAGCTGGAGACCCCAATAGCAAGATACAAACCGGGACAAAAAGAAAAATCTGGAAACAGCTGCTGTTTTCAACACATCGACCATCTCTTCCTTGGACACCATCATCACATAACCGGGACACCATCACAAAATGACCAGGGCACCATCAAAACATGACCGAGACACCATCACAACATGATTGGGACACCATCACATAACCGGGACACCATCACAAGGTGACCGGGACACCAGCATGACATGACGGGGACACCATCACAACATGACCGGGACACTACAACATGACCGGGACACCGTCACATGACCCGGACACCATCAAAACATAACCGGCACGCCGCCAAAACATGACCAGGACACCATCACAACAGGACCGGGACACCATCAAAACATGACCGGGACACCGTCACAACACGACCGGGACACCATCAAAACATGACCGGGACACCATCACAACATGACCGGGACACCATCAAAACATGACCGGGACACCATCAAAACAGGACCGGGACACCATCACAACATGACTGGGACACAATCAAAACATGATCGGGACACCATCACAACATGACCGCGCCACCATCACATGATCGGGACACCATCAAAACAT